CTTCTGTGGGTCCTACAGAGTGTCCCCTTGGATTCTTCTGTGGGTCCTACAGAGTGTCCCCTTGCCCCCCCTCTGCTTGCTCCCTGGCAGGTCAGCAAACACAACACAAGGTGGAAGGGCAGCGCACTGCAATCTGTGTGGGGCGAAATGGCAAACGGTCATTTTCCAGACCCTCTCATTTGGATTTTATTTTGGGAGCTTTACTGGGTCGGCTTCTCGTGCTGAGGCACAGGGCATTTACATTGTGTTATTTTCAACTCCTTAACCGCAGTCTAGGCCACGCAAAAGAATGGAAAAAGGGAAAGAAAATGTTGTTTTTCTTTGTAATTTAATGTCAAAATCAAGACCTCTGAGCGCTCAGTCTGTACAGCAAGACCATACTCACACGTAACCCAGATTCAGGATAAAAATTAGCTATATTTCAAGCGTAGAGGCAAAGGGTTAAGTTTCAGGAGCGTTTCTGCCGATGTTAAAAAATGCAACGGCTGCAGCTTCCAGAAAGCCGGGCAGAGAGTGGCGCTTTATTACTTTAGCAGCTTTTTTCAGTGTCTTTCTCACAGTATCTGTACTATTCATACTCAAGCTTACTTAGACATCCCTACTTCTATTCTGCATCTTTTTACGCTAAATATTTTTCTTCTGATGTGAGTATTTGATAGCTATCCATGTACAAATTACTCTATATACACGTGATATGCCACAGGCATGACATGGGAGGGAAGAAAAAACAACTAGTAATGGAAATCTATTTTTAAGGGCATTTCTGTGATTTGCACAATTTAGCAGTTGAGTCCAGGCCAGACATCAGAGCTTTACTCTGATTTAATCTTGCAGTAATGAATCAAAGTAATGAAGTGTTTATAATGTATTTATTTATTTTCTTTGTACAGACTCCACAGTTTTCTAACTTTGATGTTCTGATCTAAGCCTTCAACCTTTCTTGTAACATCAGCAACAACAGAGAATAAACATACATGTAGTTCTGTGCTTAGAATATCTTCCCAACCCTGCCCAGGACAAGGAGTAGGAAGATGGATGGATGGATCTTAGGGTGTATATTTATGTATATTTATGTATGTACATGTTCTCTATCTTACCCGAGTTCAGTAGGATGGTCTTTGTCATTCATTACCTAAAATCCTTTATACAGATTCCCGGGTTGGACCTTCTGAATACCCGTCTCTAGCGTAGGAAAGCTTAGTATAACTATTCCAAACGGTAGTCTGTAATACATAGGGCTCCTGGCCTGAAATCTGTGGATCTCACAAAATACACTCAGCAAAAGTGATGACCCCAGCTAAAGGGGGCATTTCACTATGGACCACTCTTGTATAAACAATTTTTTTATACCGTTGTAATGCTTAGAGAGGCAGCTAATGAAATCATGTAGTTTCAGAAACACAATATGAGGCAAAGGAATTTTTTTGTCACCCTTTATGGTGGTCATAGATTTTACTAAAAATTATATTTCCTAATTTGTTCGACTTCAGATATTAAATAATACAGATTTCTTTCATTGCTTCTTCATTTTTGGCATTGTTTACATTTAACAAAAAAGAGATCTAAACATACTTTAAGGCACTAGGTGTAATGAACACATACAGTTTAACAATTATTTTGTTTTTGCAAGTTAGATTAAACAGTTGTAGGATTGGGTCCAGGCAGGATGACTAACACTATGGCATGGAACAGGGATAGGAGGGATGAATAGGGACTTTACTTGGGGATGGGATGATGGGATGATGGGAAGATGGGAAGATGGGAAGATGGGAAGATGGGTTTGACAAAAGCAGCGGGTAGGAATAAAAACAAAAGACAGCTGTTTCAGTGTCAGCACGGGGAAATACTACACAAGAAAACAAAATGGACGGCGGGTCAGCGCAGGGCTAAGATGGACTGTGGGGTTGTGAACCAGCTTCAAGGCAAGTTTACTGGGGACGAGAGAAAACAACACTCAATCTTACTGGATAACGAGCAGGTGAATAGAGTGGGATAGCTTAAGCGAGGCCCAGGAAAATACGATGTTCTGGCCAGGCTGTTGCCTGTAAAGTCCTCCATTGTTCCTCAAAAGCATTTGCATACCCATTTCAGATCTTGCCGATTCAGATTACTTTCAATTTTTCTGGAAAATCTTTCTGTGCGAGGTTGGCGCCCCATCCTGGGCTGTTCCCTGCCTTGCGCCCATAGCCTCTGGGATAAGCTCTGGACCCCCTGCGACCCAGAATAGGACAAGCGGTTTCAGAAAATGGATGGATGGATTTCTGTGCAAATCCTGAGATGTCTGGTCACCCTTTAAATTATGCTACTTTTATAATCTTTATTCCCAAAATAGCCAGTGGTGGCCTAATGGTTAGGGAAAGGCACTTGTAATTGAAAGCTTGCTGGTTCAAATTCTCCACCAGCAAAGTACCACTGAGGTACCCTGAGCAAGGTACTGTCCCCAAGCACTGCTCCCCGGGCGCTGAATTAGCTGCCTCCTGCTATGTCGCATATGGGTTAAATGCAGAGGACATATTTTGTTCCTCAGATTGTGTCTCATGGTGATGATCTCCATGGCAACAGGCCAAGTGGGTCTCCTTCCTCAGACTGTATCTCATGGTGATGGTCTTCATGGCAACAGGCCATGTGGGTCTCCTTCCACGGACTGGATCTCATGGTGATGATCTCCATGGCAACAGGCCAAGTGGGTCTCCTTCCTCAGACTGTATCTCATGGTGACAG